AGGCGCCCGCTCCCTCTGCAGGGCAGGAGGGAGGCGGGCTCAGGACGAGTGTGGGGAAGAGCCCAGCAGGACGGTGGGGGGCGGGGAGGGGCGGTGGTAGAGGGCAGGGAGCGGGCTGGAGGGTGGGCCGATAAGCTCCCCCCGCCCAGTACCTGGTCTCAGCCCCACCTCCCTCAAGGAGCTCTCCAGCCCCATTAACCGCCATAGTATTGTTATTTGCAGCCGAGGGGGACTCATTAGCAAGTTAGCGCCTCCGTCGTTGCCATGGCGACCACAGAGGCGCCCGGCAACCGCTGTTCCTGCGGCACCAGCTCGGTGCCGGCTGGCGATGCGGCCGGCGGCCCACTCCTGGCAGCCTGCAGGTGCCCAGTAGCTGGGGCCTGGCGTCACCAGGAGACCCAAAGCCCAGGCGTGACATTCCTGCAGCACCCCCCACCCCACTCTGCTCCACCCAGTCCCACCCCTCCTTGCTTGCCGTGAGCACCCATGCACACAGGCTCCCACCCTCCTGCCTTCGGGGATGCCTTCGCCAAGGGTCCAAGGTCTGGCCCAGGCGCACCTCCTGCAGGGGCCGTCTGGCACGGAGCTGGCCTCCTGGGAGTGGATCTAAAGCTCCTGGGGGCAGACCCTCACTTGCTGTGCCCGGATCCGGATCCGGGGCCCAGAGCTCCAGCGGGGCTGGGGGGGGAGCTTAGCACAGTCTCAGGCTGAAGCATGCGGCTAGAACAGGCAGGGTGGGCACAGAGGACACAGACCCTGCAGGGTCTTGGGCCTCTCTGATTTCAAGGACCCACTCCAGGTTCAGCCCAGACCCCATTCTTGGGAACTGAGGGGACACAGCACCTATGTCCTGCTATTCCAGAGCCTGGGCGCCAGTGGGACAGAGGTGGGAGGGAGGCACAAGCCCAGGGACCCCCATCACAGGGCTCGTCGCTGAGGAGACTGGGCAGTTCCTGGTTGGAAGGCCAGAGGCCCCTCCGCACCTGCCTGTCCCCCCCCCCCGCCCCGCCGGGAGGCGGCAGGCATTCACCCCTTGTCCAGGAAGGCCACATTCACGGCACAGCCTGGCTTCTGTGCCGCGTGCCAGGACGTGACCCTCCACACACTGTCCACACGCTGTTGGCTCACCTCTTTCCCATTCTCCATGCCGGCCCCTCGTGCAACCACTCACATGCAGACGTGTGTGCTCATGTGAGGTCACTGGGCTCAGTCACTCCCACCCTCTGCACGCCGAACTCCCCCAAACCCCGAGACACCCGAACCCCAGGGACAGCTCCAAGATCTCATCACACCGAGGGCTCCCTGGGCCTCCATGGGGCACGTTCTTGTCCCTGAACAAGGGACATGCGTGACCAGAAAACTCCCTGTTGACGGCGCCTTCACCAACGTCTCCTGCTCCGCACCTAGTGACAGGGAACTCACTACCTCTGGAGACGACTGTCAGGACTGTCAGCCATGGGGGACAGTGGCTCTCCCTCAGAGAGGTGTCCCCAGCCCGAATGGTAACTGGCATACACAGGCAGGCCCTCGGGAGGACCTGGCCGTGGAGGCCCCCAGAATGCTGAGATGTCCAGCTCTCTGTGACCCAGTGCATGGTTGGATGCAGAAACGGCTACACAGAGAGGCCAGGAGAGAGACTGATTGGTGGCTCACACCAAGTCAGCTCATTTTTCCCTCATCTGCTCTCATCAGGGACCCCCAAATACTCTAATCCTGGCCCCCTCATCTCTCTGGGCTGAATGGAAGAGGGTCCAAGCTGACCTTTACTCCATCCCCTCTGTGATGTGGCAAGGCCAAGCAGAGCCAACTTGGTCTGGGGAGGGCACGGGCCTGGGAGACAGTAGGGTGGGGGCTCTGCCCCCTCGGTTCACAGGGGTCTGGGCAGAGCCTGCGGGAGGAGGTGTCCACATGTGTGTGATCCCTTCGGAGGGCAGGACCCTACACTTCTAGGTCTCCCCTGCTCCCGACTGGGTGGTTCTAGCCCTACCAATCTGCAGGACTTCTGTCCGCCCATGTTACGCACCTGGGCCGTCCTGGGACATCCAGCAGTCACCGCCCGGAGCGGGCCAGGCAGAGGTGGACACAGCCCATGCAGGCTGGGTGGTCAGAGTCTGACCCATGTTCCTCTGGCTGTGGCTTTGGCTCCTTCCTCTCCCTCCCTCTAAGCTGCACCCTCTGGAGATGCAGCCAGGATGCCCTCTGGCTTCCACAGCCCTGTGGGCCCTCTGTCCACTTGAAACACCAGGGCCCCAAGGTCAGCCTTGGCTGGAGAGGAGAGGATGCTGGGTAGGGTTCTGGAGCGGTGGGTGACTTCCGGCATCTTTCTGCACCCCTGTGCATGGAGGCCAGCATTCCTGGGGGCAGCCTCTGGGGCACAGGAGCCTTCTGGAGGGAGGCTGAGGGCAGCAGGGGACTAGAACCGCCCAGCAACGGTCCTGGAGCCCTTGGCCTACTGCCACGGGATTCAGTCAGACTTTAGGATGAACCCCACGCGAGCTGCTCTACCAGGCAGAGGCTCATTAAACATCTGAGCGGTGAATTCCTGGGACGTCTGTCCTCCCTGAGCAGGGTGGGGGCGCGAGCTGCCCTTGGAGCAAGGTTTGAGGGAGGTAGTGGGGAGTGCACGGACCCTCCCTCGGACCCCACTCAGACCCCCAGGGGCAGGGGGCTCGGCAGGAGATCACTGCCCCCCCAGCCTGCAGCACCCCCACATCCGCCCCAAGCTGCAGCACAACACTAGACCCTACCACCTCCGTCCTCCACCGCACGGGCTCCCCCTGCACCCCGCAATCCCCGCAGCACCCAGGCCCCCAACCCCCACCCTGCAGAAGCCGGTACATTTCTGCAGCAGGAAGTCAGGAGGTAAATAGTCCCAGGAGGGGTGACCTGACGGGGGGGGGGGGGGGGGCTGGGCCCACTGCAGCCCCATCGCCTCCAGGCCAGACTGTAAGGTACCCCTCCCCGCCAAGGTGGGCGGACAGGCTGAGGGAGCCTGCTTGCTCTCAGCCTGGCAGTGCCAGCCCCTCCCCCAGCACCCGCCGCTGCCTCTGCAGCCGGCGGCCGATGGTCTTTATTCTGCAGAGGCCCGAGAGGCACCCTGAGGTGGGGGCCCCCGCGGAGGCCCCGCCACACAGGGGACATGGATCTGCAGTCCCTCCCCACCGAACGCGGAATGGGCCCTTTTCTGGGCCGCCCGCAGGCTAAAGCCCTCCGCTCCTTTGCTCAAGGCCTGCATCCCCAACCCGCGGGGGCAGGGACGACCTTCTCCAGTTTGGGGCCAACATGGCGGGGTGGGGGGCATCCTTGGGTCTGGGGCTCTCGCAAGGGTCCATACAGATCCACGCTGGATCGCAAGGGGCCAAGGCCCTGGGTGCTCACTGCATGCCCCTCCCCCCCGAAATAAGGAATTTCGAGGAGAAAGGCGACGAAGCGCGGTGGGGGGCGCGTGGCCCCGGCCGGGGTCCACCGGGCTCTGCGGGAGGCGCGCGAAGGGCTTCCCCGGCCGGTCCGCGGCGCCCCCCGGAGCCGGGTCGCTCACCTCGCGGCCGCCTCCTCCTCCCGGGCGCCCGCCGGGTGCAGCCTCCCCAGCGCTCCCGATGCAGCGCCCCCCGAGCCGAGCCCCTGCCCGCGCCCCGCGCGTCCCCGCTCGGCGCCCCCGCTCACCTCGCCGTCGCTCGCGTCCGGGGCGCACGGGGACCCGCGCCCGCTCAGCGCGCCCGCTCGGCCGCGCCGCCCATGGGCCCGGCGGGGGCCCGCGCAGCCGGGGCAGGGGCCGGGGG